AAAGTGAAAGAGGAGAATGAAAAAATCGGCTTAAAACTGAATATTCAGAAAAGATCATGGCATCCAGTCCCATCACTTCATGGCAAATAGATGGGGAAACAGTGGAAACAGTGTCAGACTTTATTTTTGGGGGCTCCAAAATCACTGCAGATGGTGACTGTAGCCATAAAATTAAAAAACACTTGCTCCTTGGAAGGAAAGCTATGACCAACCTAGATAGCATATTAAAAAGCAGAGACATTACTTTACCAACAAAGGTTCGTCTGGTCAAGGCTATGGTTTTTCCAGTGGTCATGTATGGATGTGAGAGTTGGACTATAAAGAAAGCTGAACGCCGAAGAATTGATTCTTTTGAACTGTGGTGTTAGAGAAAACTCTTGAGAGTCCCTTGGACTACAAGGAGATCCAACAAGTCCATCCTAAAGGAGATCAGTCCTGAGTGTTCACTGGAAGGACTGATGTTGAAGCTGAAACTCCAAATACTTTGGCCACCTGATGGGAAGAGCTGACTCATTGGTAAAGACCCTGATGCTGGGAAAGAGTGAAGACAGGAGGAGAAAGGGAGGACAGAGGAAGAGATGGTTGGATGGCATCACCAACTCAGTGGACATGAGTTTGAGTAAGCTCCGGGAGTTGGTGATGGACAGGGAGGCCTGGCGTGCTGCAGTCCATGGGACTGCAAAGAGTCAGACATGACTGAGCGACTGAACTGAACTGAACTGACAGGTGGGAAACGCCGATGGCTTATGTATCTCAGACATCAGGAGATTAGAGATGAGAAAAAGCACGTTGCCTTTCTCCTTAAGTCTACTGTTCCAGAGGCCTGCATAGAGCTGCCATTGATTTCAGTGAGGGAGGCAAGAAAGTAGAGAAAGAAGGCTCAAGACCCAGGGCTTGGAAAGTATTTGCGGAGCGACTTCTGGTCTGTGAAATGCCGAGAAGTTAATGCACCAGAAGCCAGCTGAGTCTCAGAGGGATTTGTATTTCCAAAGGTACTACCGCCAAGCCAATAAAGCTTGTGGCCGCTGCACTCTGAGACCCCGGGCTGTCAGTGTAGAGCAAACAGCAGAGCTACTAACAGGGCATGTCTCCAACGCCCGCTTCAGATGTGGCTACGGGGAAACTGAATAGGAAGAGCCTCCCCTCCCTCAATGGCGAGGCCAAGGGACACAAAGCCAAGGCCAAGAGGGTCCTCCTGGAGAAGAGGGCCAGGGTCTAATCGGAGCCCCCTCCTCTGCCAGGGCAGGGGTCTTGCCCACCGCCTGCTCCATGGTACCAGCATTGCTACAGGCCAGGGTCTGCTATGTGCATTTCTTTCTCCTCTTTTTCAAATGGGAGTTCCAACTGCAGTTTTCTCACCCCTGTTTCATCATTGTATATCAAGTGTGAGTATGAGTGTACAAGAGGAGGTAACTTGTATTTGAGATCACAGGTTGCCAGGCCATTAGAACCATATCCAAACCTGATGGAAACGACTGTGCATTCCCCAGAGACCATGTGGTATGTTTACTGTATGGGCTCTTGTTTGTCTCCCTTGGGATGAAGCAGTTGGGTTCTCTGTGTTGGAAAGAGGGTATTCATGATACTTGGCAGCCAGAGGGACTGACTGTGGCAAGGCTTTAGCCATCAACCTAGGTGTCCATCAACAGAGGAATGTATAAAGAAGATGTGGTATATATGCACAATGGAATATTATCTCATCCATAAAAAAGAATGAAATGTCATTTGCAGCGATACAGATGGACTCAGAGATTATCATAGAAGTAAGTCAGACAGAGAAAGACAAATATACGATATCACTTATAAGTGGAATTTAAATAAATGATGAAAATGAATTTATTTACAAAACAGAGACAGACTCACAGACTTAGAGAAATGAACTTATGGTTACCAGAGGGGAAGGATGGGAGAGAGAGACAGATTGGGAGTTTGGGATGGATAGGTACACACTGCTATATTTCAAATGGATAACCAACCAGGACCTGCTGTATAGCACAGGGAATTCTGCTCAATATCATCAACCTAAATGGGAAAAGAATTTGAAAAAGAACAGATATATGTACATATATAATTGAATCATTCGGCTGGACACCTGAAACTAACACAACATTGTTAAACAGCTATAATACAAAATAAAAAGGTACACATTTAAAAAAATGATACAAATGAAATTACTTACAAAACAGAAAGAGACTCACAGACATAGAAAACAAGCGTTATGTTTACCAAAGGGGAAAGGTTGGCAGAGGTGGGAATAAATTAGGAGTTTGGGAATAACAAATACACACTACTGTATACAAAATATTAATACATCACCAACAAGGACCTATTGTATAGCATATAAGTAAGTGTTGTCGCTCAGTCATGTCCGACTCTTTGCGGCACCATGGACTATGGTGCACCAGGCTCCTCTGTCCATGGGATTCTCCAGGTAAGAATACTGGAATGGGTAGCCATTCCCTTCTCCAGGGGATCTTCCTGATCCAGGGAACGAACCCGGGTCTCCTGCATTGCAGGCAGATTATCGTCTGAGCCACCAGGGCCATAGATGTAAAGCATAGGGAACTGTATTTAATATCTTGAAATAACCTATAATGGGGAAGAATCTAACAAAGACTACACACACATACACACACACACACACACCTGTATCTATATCTGTGTCACTTTGCTTTACACATGAAATTAACACAACATTGTAAATCAACTATATTTCAATAAAAATGTTAAAAAGACTGTTAGCTAACTGTCTATGAAAATCCATTCTCCCTTTCTTCCATCGCGTTAGAGGAACTAGGCATTTGCTGCCAAGCCTCCTCTGCACTGGGAATTATCCACCGGATGAAATTCCTGCTAATGGAATGTGAATGGCAGAGTGTGTGCCACTTCCTGGCATAGCGCACACCTCTCAAGCACTCATTTCCCGTGGGCTGAGCTGGCAATGATCAGAAGAAAGAAGTTACATTGAGCATGGCTTGTCATGAGAGCCTCCTCTCCCACTGATGTGGGACACCCGCCAGGGACTGATACATGAGGAAACAAACCTTCATTTTTAAGGCACATTATTGCTGGGTTTCTTTTAACAGCAGCTGAATCTTTTACTATAGCTAATACATTCAGATTCTCTGTTAACCACAGCCCAAATATCTTATCTGATACCTGCCATTATTTCCCACAAAAATAATGAAGTGAGTGTCCAGAGCTCCTGGAGAAGTACATGGATTCTGAGTTGATGATGATTTAACAGAACCTGCCCTGATGAACCAGATCATACCCAAGAGTTCCAAGTGACCAGATGTTTTCTCTAAGTATGTGAAATAATTAAGGCCAAGGAATAGCTTCCTCACTTAGCAGTGATTGATGTTATATATAATTTTTTTAAAGACCTTACAAATACTCAAAACATATGTTTTTCCTAAAGAGCTAGTTGTACTTTATAGATCTGAAATCAAATGAATTCTCAGGACATCCTGGGAGGTATAATAAAGGTTGGGTAACATTATTAATTTTATAGATGACAATGAAGTGATTGCTTTTAACATTTGTGATTCACCAGTTCTAAAGAATCTTTTCTAGACTTTTCACCACATGCAATTATTTTACAAGCCTTCCTGTCCCTAAGGCCAAAAAGAAACACATAAAAAAACTATAAAGCAGTCTGATCACAGGCTAACTGAAAAGGAAATCCTTGTGGTGGGAAGTCCCTGATCCAGAGCTTTGAAATAGCATCGTAACAACCCTTTCTAACCGAAAGTTGCAGCTCCAAGAACCCAAGATAAATGACTCCTCATGATGCTGGCGCTCTCTTGCCAGGCTCTGACACCAACTCCTCAGTCCTGAAACAGACGCTAAACAAACCAGAGCATAAAAGAAATCTGGGAAGATAGGTAAGTTCAGGAAGTTCAAGATCTGAGAAGGAAATGCAGGGAGAATCTTATGTGGCTTGTGGTAGAATGCTATGGCTGAGAAATGCTAGGTTACTACTGCACATGATGGTCAAGTCCTAAGCACGGAACTTGGATCTCTTCATCCAACAAACTGACAAGCTGCTCACAGGATAAGACCAAAAGTGATGATCAAAATGGTCCTTCTTCCACTCTCCATTATAGTGGGGACACAGAACTGAGCTGGATCCCTGAGAATGTGTCCCTGATCCAGAGACTCTAATATTAAATCTAGGCTCTGCCACTGAGTTGCTGGGTGAGTGAGGAATAGTTGCTCAGTTGTGTCCGACTCTTAGCAACCCCATGGACTGTAGCCCGCCAGGCCCCTCTGTCCATGGAATTCTCCAAGCAAGAATACTAGAGTGGGTAGCCTCTTCCTTCTCCAGGGAGTTGCTGGGTGATGTTGTGCAAATCCCTTAACCTCTCTAAGCCTTGATTTTCTCATCTATAGAATGGGATCATAATAGTACCTCCTTCCTAGGGCTGCCATGATAACTAAGGAAGTTAATCCACGTCAGGCTCTTTGATAAGTATATGGCAAGAGCTCAGTAACTGGAAGCCCATTTTTATAAATTGCTGCCTTACTATCCCTAGTGCCCAACCATTTGTGGCTGAGAAAAAGAAAGTAGAAATGCAGATTTATTCCAGCTTAACAGTGACTGCTTAGGAATTCAGTGAGGAACCTGAAAGAGAAAGGAAGATAGGCTTTTAATGTTCTCTCAGTGGAGCAAGGTATGACCTTGTACAAAAATCCTTCAAACGGTCTATTAGAAATTATGCTGATGATTTCTTTGGAAGGACAAAAAAAAACAACATAAAATATCTGAGACCAGAGGTTGCTTTGCAGAGTTCAGACAGGCACCGGTAAAGGTCATACATCATCCTGCATCTTTCTCAAGGCCAGAGGAACTAATCAACAACTCAGAACCTGAACTCCCTTGAACACTCAGAAGCACTACATCACCAGAATAAAAACCAGTGAAACCAAGGACTTATTAAAATGTCGTTAACTTGCCTGATGCCTAGTCTTCCACAGCCAGCTGGTGTTCCACACACTGTGAAAGGTGACCTAAGGCAGTTTCTCATTTCACACAGTTCCCTTGAACAAAAATCAACCTGGAATAGACCTCAAAAATCATCAGCCTTGGGGCTTCTCTGGTGGCTCAGTGGTAAAGAATCCGTCTGCCAATACAGGAGCCACGGGTTCGATCCCTGGTCCGGGAAGATCCCACATGCCTCGGAGCAATTAAGCCTGTTTGCCACAACTATTAAGCCCAAGCTCTAAAGTACGGGAGCCGCGACTACTGAGCCCACACACATGCTGCAGCTACTGAAACCCGTGTGTCCCAGAGCCTGTCCTCCACCACAAGAGAAGCCACCACAGTGATAAGCCTGCGCGCTACAACCAAGCGTAGCGCCTGCTTGCCCCAGTTAGAGGAAAGCCTGTGTAGCAATCAGGACCCAGTGCAGCCAAAAATAAATAAATAAATAAAATTATCAGTTCAGTTTAGTTCAGTCATGTCTGACTCTTTGCGACCCCATGGACTGCAGCACGCCAGGCCTCCCTGTCCATCACCAACTCCCGGAGTTTACTCAAACTCATGTCCATTGAGTCAGTGATGCCATCCAACCATCTCATCCTCTGTTAATTTTAAGCACTTAGAAGGCTTCCCTGGTGGCTCAGATGGTAAAGAATCTGCCTGCAATGTGGGAGAACTGGGTTTGATCCCCGAGTTGGGACGATCCCCTGGAGAAGGGAAGGGCAACCCAGCCCAGTATTCTTGCCTGGAAAATTCCACAGACAGAGGAGCCTGGTGGCCTACAGTCCATGGGGTTGCAAAGAGTCAGACTCCGCTGAGGGGCTAACACTCTCACTTTCAGAAGGCTACAGGGTATACTTAAGGGTATACTTATGACTGCAGAATTCAGAGCAAAGTTAGAAAAATCACCAACAAAGGTGGCTGCATAGTGAACATTTAGCGTTTAGAGGAGTAACATCTTTACAACCGTACAATCCGTACACAATCCGTACAACCTAGAAGCATCTGCTGAGAGACTGGTCTGCTTCCCAACTCTCAGAAAGTAATGACTGGTGTGAAACTGGAACTCTAAACTGCTCAAGAGGGACTTCCCTGGTAGTCCAGTGATCTGCATTTCCAGTGCAGGGGACGCAGGCTTGATCCCTGGTTGGGGAACTAGGATCCCACATGCTGGGTGGCCAAAACAAACAAACAAACAAACAAAATCCAAATTACCTAACTTGCACAGTATACTGGGCCTAGATGTCGGTTGTGCCCCTCAGTGGCTCTCCAAAGGCTCCAATGTCCTTCACCACAGCAAGGATGCTTTGGCTTGGGTTCTGGGTTACTTTTTCAGGTCAGTGCTCTCCCAGCTGCCCCCTCACAGCTCAGATGCCAGCTGCCTTCTGTGGTCCATCTCTACTTCCCTGTGAAGATGGATCAGACGTACCCTGCATGCTATCCATTTCCTGAGAGTGAGAGGGAGGGGCACGGTGGAGGAGGGGGAATCACCCCCTATGACACTCACACCATCCCTCCCAAGTGCCTCCTTTTGGTTTTGTTAAAATCAAACACAAATGGGGACCAGACTTGAAAATTCCCTGAGCAAAATCAGTTTAGTTATACAATCAGAACTTAATTTGGTGTGTTTTGCAAGACAAGCAAGGCTAACATGACCTGAGTCACTTCTTGCTTCTGCCTCTGGGAAAGTCAAAAGTGAAACTTCAATCGTTCTCTGAAATTGATAATGACGTCATCACTAACCAATTCCCTTTCATTTAAGAAAATCCTAATATTGTAAACAACCACTGTGAAGAGTAAACAGCCAATACTATATAAGCTGGGCTTCCCAGGTGGCACAGTGGTAAAGAATTCACCTGCCAATGCAGGAGACGCAGAGGACTCAGGTTTGATCCCTGGGTTGGGAAGATTCCCTGGAGGAGGACATGCAACCCACTCCAGTATTTTTGCCTGGGAAATCCCATGGACAGAGGAGCCTGTCAGGCTACAGATCATGGGGACCCAAAGAGTCAGACACTACTGAGCACACACATCACACCGTGTAAGTTGCCTTATAACAATATACCTCTGAACCTTGTTCCATGTTTTGGTTTGAGGGCTCCTGTCTTGCAAACTCTTTATTTTGGGTATGTGCACAATAAACTTAAACTAATATGACTACTTCAGTGAGTCACTGGTTTTACTTCTGCTTTTTTCCTAAACTTTTGACAGTTCACAGCATCAGAAGTGGAATCCCAAGAAGATCCCCAATGACTCCAAGGTTGATGAGCAACAGGTGCCGGGACCCAGACAGCCCACTGGGCCTGCTCCTTTCTCATGGACCCTGGAGTTTGAGGGGAAAGTCTCTAGGATCTGAGCTCTCCTCTCTTTGCATTCTGAGTTCTCCAACTTGACTGTGCACTATTGCTTTCTGTTTCTGTATGTGTAAGCTTCTTTAGAAGTCTGAGTGGGAGGGGAGAAACCTGTGATTCCCCGGGGTTTAGCTAGCAGTAGGATTACTGGGCTCCGCATAGATTATTTGTTTCAGGAAACCTAAAGGTAGAAATAAGTTCCACCTGATCTGAATCTCCTTCTCCCTTTAAAGACTCCCTCTCTTATATATAGGTCTGATCTTATGGATCAGGATCTTGTGCCTTTCCGGAAAAACGAGTGAACTTTTAGATGATTTAGAATGATAGTGGCCACTACAGGGAAATTTCAATTTAGATAAATCCACCTTAAGAGACACTCTTGAAAAGAGAAATACGTATATTATCAAGTGTGAAACAGATCGCCAGTCCAGGTTGGATGCATGAGACAAGTGCTCAGGGCTGGTGCACTGGGAAGACCCAGAGGGATCGGGTGGGGAGGGAGGCGGGAGGGGTTCAGGATGGGGAACACATGAAAATCCATGGCTGATTCATGTCAATGTATGGCAAAAAACACTACAATACTGTAAAGTAATTAGCCTCCAACTAATAAAGATAAAGGAAAAAAAAAAGAAAAAAGAAAGAAAAGAGAAAACCCCAAACTTCTCAGGGACAATGGAATGCATTCTTTGACTGGCCTGCAGAGACTTCTAAAAGACAAGATGACTACAAAAGTATCTTCTGTAAAAGAATTCTTACAGAATGCCCCAGAAACCTTTTGTAAAAGAAGACTTTGTCCATCTAAGCAGGTTATCTCAACTTAGTCCACCTGCCAGAAACACAATTTGGGTCCAGTTATTCTTTTGAGTTTTGTACCTGAGACATAGCTAAAAATTTTAAATGAAGGCTAAAAGATCTGTGTTCATGTCTGTCTATGTTTATGCGTATGTGCATGTATATTATTTTTGTGTGATATTTTAAAAAGAGTTATATTTAATTGAGTTAAGTAAAAGTAATGTTTATATAAATTAAATTTTCCTAAAATCCTCAGAATATAAAATCTAACCCAAATGGTTTTTCAGGTTAATATGATATGGGATAATCTTTGATAAATGGAAGCTAGTTTAACTCCTAGAAGAAAACATAGGCAGAGCATTCTTTGACATAAATCACAGCAATTTTTTTTTGGATCCATCTCCTAAAGTAAAAGAAAAAAAAGACACCTAATAAAACTTACAAGCTTTTGCATAGTAATGTGAGCTACTGCCAAAAGAAAAGGCAACCTACTGAATGGGAAAAATATTTGCAAGTGATATGACTGAAAGGGGATTAATATCCAACATGTATAAACAGTTCATACAACTCTACATAAAAAAGCAAACAACCTGGTTAAAAAATGGGCACAGAACTGAGTAGACATTTTTCCAAAGAAGAAATGCAGATGACTAACAGGCACATGAAAAGGTGCTCAACATCACTAATTAACAGGGAAATTCAAAACCATAATGAGATATCACCTCACACCTGTCAAAATGACTATCATCAAAAAGAACACAAGTGGCAAATGTCCGTGACGATGTAGAGAAAAGGGAACCCAGTGGACTCATTGATGGGAACGTACACTATTGCAACCACTGTGGAAAACAGTATGGAGATTTCTCAAAAAACTAAAAATAGAGCTACCATATAACACAGCAATTCCACTCCTGGGCTGTATATCAGAAAAAACCAAAGACACTAGTTCAAAGATACATGCACCCCAATGTTCACAGCAACATGATTTACAATAGCTAAGATATGGAAGCAAGCAGAGTGTCTGTCCCTCAACAGATGAACAGATAAAGAAGATGTGGTGTACATATATAATGGAATACTACTCACCTATAAAAAATGAAATATTACCAACTGTAGCAACATGGACGGACTTAGAGGACATTATGCTAAGTGAAATAAATCAGAGAAAGACAAATGCTGTATTATATCACTTATAAGTGGAATCTAAAAAATACAACAAATACAGTTGTATTGAACTGTTATAGTGACTATAACAAAAAAAAAAAGGAGTCTCGGAGATAGAACAAATGAGCAGTTACCAGTGCACAGAGGAGGGGCAACATCGGGGTGAAGGCGTGGGAAGTCCAAACAGTTAGGTGTAAGAGAGGCTGTAAGGATGTATGGTACAACTTGGGGAATACAGTCAACACTTTGTAATAACTGTAAATGGAAAGTAAGTTTTAAAAATTGTATAAAACTAAAAAAAAATTTTAATAAAATAAAAGAATACTTTGGAAAAAAATGTAGTTTAAGGTTATTGGTTTAATAAAAACAGACATATCTTCAGAGTTGTCGACATTAAATGTAATAAAAACATACAATTTTTCCTACCTGGGTTTGCTTTGTCACATAAGCCCATGCTATCTCTGTGTCACAAAATTTGTCAACAAGAAAAATAACTTAAGAGGACGTTTAGTTATTTGATGTCTAACAACTAAGCATGATTGTTAAAAACAAGTAATTTAAATAAATAAGATAAAAGTTTATACTAAGTTAAACTAAATAATAGATATTCATTGAATATCTAGATTATTTCCAAATAAGATAATATACTGAGACACTGATCATTAAACATGTTTATCAATGGGGAACACATGTAAATCCATGGCTGATTCATATCAATGTATGACAAAAACCACTACAA